CTGCTCAGCCTTTTGTTTCCATGATTACAGACACTCTCCTCCTCCCCCTTCTCCCTTGCCCCACGCTGCGGTCCCTTTCTGTGCCCTCCCGCTCGGCACGCTCTCTCCGCTGACTGAATGGAGACGGGCACGCGTGCGCTGCCCCGGCCAGCATCTGCACGGCGTTCGGCGCCGAGGCGGGAGGGTTGAAAGGCTTTTCTTTTCCGTGCGCACGGGTCACTCCCCCCCACCCCTTTGCAGCTTGTTCTCTGCTGGTCTGCCGCGCTGCTGCTGCTGCTGCTGCTTTCGTCCAGGACCGGACTAGGTACTTCGGCGTACGTTTGTAGGCCAGTCCTGCCACTGAACCAGCCTGGGAGCCTGTGCCCGTGCCCTGTCCCGCCATTTCCATTCTGCTAATGGAAGGGTCTCTCTCCCTCATGAGTCGGGTCTGAGCATGCCATTTGAATGCTGGCAAAAATGAAGAGCATCTCGTTATTGTTACTAGTTGTGTACGAGGGCTTCGTGCTGCCAGGCGTTTTAGACGCCCCCGCGGCTATTGCCCTGTAGGAGGAAACAAACTGAGATTTTTGCTTTCTGTGCACTTCAGTCATTGGATTCAGGATAAATCTGAAGCTTTCCTAAAAGACTGGGTAGCCGTAAAATTGAATGACTACACGGGGTTAAAAACAGAGGTAATCTATTTTTTCTAACCCTGTTTAGAAGTAACTATTGAAGTAAGTGGATTTACTGATGGAGGTAAAAGAAAAACCTGAATCTGGAAGGTCTCATTGTACAGTTACCTTTTGAGTTGTTGAAATCTGAGGGTCAGGTAACTAAATTCACAAGCCAGAGAAGAGATGAAAATAGGTAGTAGAAGATACCATCCTTCAAATATGTTAAAGTTCCAGAAGGAGTTGAAACTCCTGTATCCCCTGGATGAACTTGGCCATGGCCTTGTGTCTGCTGTTTACCTGTGTGACAGTGTTGCTTCTGAGGTGTACACACCAAGGAATGGTTGTGATATTGTGTCATAAAATAATGCTCCATCACTGCGGGGTTTTTTTTGTTTTTGTATTCTGTTTTTAAAATGTAATAGTAAAATAGTAAAACCGTACGAAGTTATCTGGGAGCAGGGAGATCCGATCGCCGGCTGGGAGGCAGCTCTCTGCCTTTAAAAGCAGGTGGATTTGTGTGTCTTGTCAGGGGATTCTCCCCAAGCAGCTGCAAAGGGAGGGTGAGTCTTGTCACCAAGCTTAAGGTCCCCTCCTCCTTGGCATTACGTCGAGTGACGTCTGTGTCTCTCGCAGCACGAGGCGTGAAGATGATAACGCGGCCTCCTGCATGAGCGTTCTTTTTAATTGCAGAAAACGTAACTTCCGAAGTGCCAGGTGGAGGGGGATCTGTGGGGGTTCCTGCGCAGAAGTGGAGAGCTGGAGGGAGTAACGCCGGGCCAGGCGTCTGCCTTGCGTGAGGCTATTCCCCCTGTCACATCTGGCGCCGGCGTAAGCGCTTATCCCTAAAGGATGAGGGAGCTTTGCAGTCAGGGGCGGGCTGAGCTGCCAGGTGAGCCAGGGAGCCAGAGTTACCGTGACGGTTTGATGGCACCTGGGGATGCCGTGACGTGCGGCGTGGCTCTGGCGAGCAGAGGCTCTCCCGCACGCGGGCTGACGCGACAGGCGAGCGCGACGCGTGTCACGCTGTGCGTCGGGTATGAGGAAGTGTTCGGGTCCGTCAAACATAAAATGACAAAATCATTTGTAATCTCTCATTACTAATCCCTGTAGTTTTTATGTCCGTGCCTCCCTTGTGGCATTATTCAACAGCTGATTGCTTTCTTTCCTTGTCAGCTACTTAAAAATTAAGTATAATATTAAAGTTTTTAGGAGTTAAGGGAAATGTTTTACTTAGAACTTAATAGGAAAGAAAAATATGTCAGCTCTTAAATATGGCTACTAATAACTAAGTAGCCTTTACTGATTATTTGTACCTGATAGCAACTTGGGACAGGTGAGTGCAGCCAAAGTTCATTATAGAAATTTCTGCCTAGATATGAGGTAGTTTCTCCTGGCGGGTAATCAGCTCAAGAAGATGCAGCAGGAGGCACGTAACTTCATACACAATTTTTTTCGCTCTGATTTATTTAGAAGTTGAGAGCCACTGTGCTTAACTCCTACGTATGCAAAAAAGGGCGCTAATGGGAGTAAAATGCCACTATCCACTACCCCTTGAGAGGATGCTGCCTACCTGCGGCGCAGGCGTTGTCTCCGCTGCACGCGTTTCGCGTGTGCTGAGGGTAACAGATGCTACTCATCTGTCTGCTCACGGGATGCACGGTGCATCGGCTCCGTTCTGTCTGCGCTGCAGCACGGCATCGTGCAAACACCGGATGACCTTCCGAGTGATCTCATCCGCACCTGATGCGGTGCCATAAAGCCCTTTTTTCTTCTCGGTGGTGCTGTGAACACGTCTTCCCTCCTGGCTTTCTGGCGAGGCCATGGGGGCCGGTGACTCGGTTTCCATCATCAGGGCGCTGTGCTCTCATTGAACGTGCAGTGCAGGTTCATGTTTTAAATGCCTGAAACCTAAGTCTGTAAGCCAGGTGCTCTTCCAGTCGTGCTGTCTCTTGGCCCTGATTTATTCATTTTGTGTGAAAATACATGTTAAAGAAGTACTTGACCGTCTTTTTTGTGCATGTAGAACCATAATGGGGAAGGTTTCTCGAAAGTTTTCTTACAAGTGGATTCCCATGTGGTGCCTGTTAGTCACAGCTAATTACAGAGGCTGGTGAATGAAGAATATATTGGAGCTCAGGTTCCCCTCCTCCTCCTCCTCCCCCAGTGCTTCAGAAGAAAATAAAATAAAAAACCTGCAGTCAAATCCCGTTTTTTCTGTGGCTGTAGTCTCCAAAGAGCTCCAGAGAGATCACAGATGTGGTTTCACATTTCAGGTTTAACTATGGTGTAATAACTACAGTATTATCTGCAGGAGAATTGCAAGTGGGGAAAGAATCATTAACTGACAGTGGAAAGTTCACCCTACGCGCTGTGTGTTTGTTTTTTTTAAGCAGCTGAATGTTTAGCCAAACCATATTTTAACTTTTAACTGCGGCCCTGAGGGTTACGATAATCTTGATACATTAAAACCTAGGAACATTATAGGAAAGGAAATCTAGATATGTTTCAAAAAGGTCAATCGTAGAAAAGCAGAAACACTTGTGATTTAGCTAAAGCTAAGACACATGCTTCAGTTTTAATTCAGTTGCCTTGCAAACCTCCTGTGAGGTACGTTGACTTGACTTTACAACATACAAATTTTTTTAAATGTTTCCGTGGGTGCAGGGTAAGACAGCAGTGAGAGGTGAAATTTCATTGTTAGGCACATGAGGAACCCAGAGCTTACATAAAATGTTTAACTAACATGTAATTTTCCCATCTTTTGTTAGCCTTCATCCAGCATCCAGGAAGCCTGCTAAGCTGAAGGAGTTCGTGTGTGTACTACAAGTATTAGTTGAGTAGGACTACATGGGATATGTCTATTATTTGTTACTAAGGCACCAGTGACCTTCCTGCTCCTGCATTAGCAGGGCCTGCTGTTTTCCCATACTGCTGATTGTCAGGAATTCAGACCATACATGTAACTGTGTAGACTCTTCACTGGTCAAATTATTGTCTCCGGAAAACAAAATACTTCAATTACAAAAAATAAAAATTAGAG